TCCAATTGTAGAAAAAAAAAAAAAAAAAAAAAAAAAAAAAAAATTTTTTTTTTTACACAATTTGATAAGCAACGATACATTTACAGTAAACTATTGTTGTGAATTTTTTAGTTGTGAGCGTTTCTCCCAAGCATTCATGATGTATTTTTTACAGAAATTATCAAAAATAGAGGTAGATTCATCACAAATAAAAACTGAATAATCTCCTAATACATATTGAAGTTTAATATCGTCAAGTCTGGGTACTGTAGTTGATTTTTTTTTTTCTACTGACTTGAATTGATTGCAATTCAGTATGTTAATATGCATCACATTATCTTGACAGTTGGATCTGTATGCTCTAGTATCATTGTCTTCTATACCAATTTGCTGATTGATTTTTTTGTTATTAGAATTTTAAATCAATCTGCAAACATAATCTTAATTTCTGTATCCTTGCTAATGCTGCTAACTCCCCCTTTTTTAACAGCTTGTTTTTGACATTTAATTTTAAATAATATTATTTAGTGTTCTTAAAATGTACTGTATATACAGTACCTATCATTCTTATAAATCTTGTATACTAACTAAAACTAAATAAAATATTATTAAATTTTCCTAGAACACTGATGATGGTACAGTTATTCCAATGGATGTCCAGAGTACAGCTTCTGATGATATGAGCATGTCTCCTATTAGCGACGATGGACAAAACAAGGTTCTTGTGTCAGAGGTCAACCCAGAAATGCAGGACAATTCAGCAATCAAAAACCAGAATAATACGAATATGTGGAATAACTTTAACACATCAAACATGAACAGTTTTACCAACCAGTTTAATCCTCAATTTCAGCAACAAAATTTTGGACCAAATGTGCCGCCACAAAACTTTTCCATGGGACAGAACTATCCTGGATTTGCTGGTCCATTTGGTTCTCCAAGTTTTAATATGGGGTTCCAGACTGGCCAAGGTCCTCAAGGGTTTGGATTTAACCCTGGTAATTTCCCTCCAGGTTTTCAGCATCCCGGTCAGTTTGGTGCCAACCAACAACCACCGACAATGGAGCAGCACCCCCACTATCAAATGATGGCCAGAATGGGCATTTGGCAGCCACAGCTAGGGGGTAATTACAACCAGGGTATGATGGCGCCCCAGAACTTTAATACACCACCTCCTAATTACTATGATCAGTGGCGTAGCCAAACGCCAGAAAATAACTGGAATCAGGGCACAGGGTTCAATCAGAATCAAATGCCAAACCAAAACTTCTTCCAACAGCTCCCTAACCAACAGCAACAGCAGCAATGGCAGCAGTCACCGCCTAAGATGGATCCACGTCAGGCCACTCTTGATGAAGCCATGAAACAGCTAGTCTTGGAACTCAAGACTGTGATGAAAAAAGATCTCTGTCGTAAGATGGTGGAGACATCTGCCTTCAAGTGCCTTGAACATTGGTGGGATGATTGTGTTGAGAAATCCAAGGTAATGAAATCGAACACAAGATTTGTCAACATCTCTTTTATTGAGACAGCGTTGCTGTCTATGCAGTGCACAGTAGTGGAGCCTAAGGTTTTCATTTTTTTAAATTATTTATGTACGCCTATAGCTCAGACACGTCGGTGTCTTCGACAGATACCTGCACATTATAAATGTCCATTTATTATTACTATCTAACTTACTATATGGCATTTTATATTAATTATTACTATTTATTTGCTCTGTCAGTAGTCACATTTTAAGGGTATTATTACACAATGTGCATTTCTAATATGGTTTTATTTTTAAATTATCCAAATTATAGCCTTCAAAAACGGAGCCTATTAAAAGTCAGGCAAGCAGATCAATCCTTTCGAGCCTTGAAAACACCACTGAATGGAGTAAATCAATCAGTAAATCTGTTGGTTTACCTGGCTTGGAAATTGGTCTTGGTCTTCGTGCTGCAATGCCTCGAATGCCATCGTTCAAGGTGGGTATAGAGTGTGGTGCGATGTCTGTGTAGTCTAGAGGTGTGTAATAGCATTACGTCCTGCTTAGGTACACACTAGATGATTCATCTTCTTTTTTCATCCACATAAATTTTTTATTTTTATCTAGGTAAAGAGGAAACCTCCAGAAGAACAGGCACAAGATGAAAAACGAAGACAAAGACGAAAATCTATGGCCTCTGACCAAGAAGACGACTCTGGTAACTAGCAGTTATTTACTATTAAAACTAAACATTTTTTATTATAACGTATATGAGTTGGTATGTATTGTGCATCCCAGTCAAATGGATGAGTTGTGACCCTTAGTCAGATTTTGTGTGGGAGTAGAGAGGGGTAGAATCTTAGTTGACAAGTGTATAGAACCCCTTGAAAGATGGGGTGTGAACGAGAATATAGAAAATATGTACGATCCCTAGACAGATTGTGTTTAGAGGTGTGGAATCTCAATTTTTGAATGTGCAGGTCCCTTAAACAAGTGGGCTGGGGTATGCAGTCTCATTTGATAAATGTGCAGGAACATGTAGACAATAATGCATTTGTACAACCCTTTACACAAATGGGCTACATGGCATAGTTAATAAGTGTGTACTGTTGGAGCGCTGGGCAGATAAAGATGTGTAATTTCACTTGATACAGTACTGTAATGTTAATGCACAACTAAACATAGGGAGTGTAGTGTGTCGCATACTTGTGTAGTCTTACTCCGGAATTAACACATGTTTATTCTCAACTTGCCAGTGTGAAAATGGTATTAGAAAATAATATGTGTACAACACCTAGACATGTTTATTTAAATTTTGTAATGGATTTTTAAAAATGTATGATTATTTGCAGATGCTGAAGCCGATAAAGTGGAGGTTTTGAGTCAGACTTCCGAGAGTTCTGCTAAACTGTCTAAATATCAAGAGAAATACAGAAGCTCCGGAAGTGAGAAGGGAGAAGATGATGATATTGAAGAGGAGGAAGATCTAAAGCAACTGCTTAGGCGTAGGCGAGGATTGGAAGCTAAAGATGCTGAAGTGTCTGATGGTGATGGTCAGTTATGTTTTATTTATTTATATTTTATATGTTATTTGAATTGCATATAATAATTTTTTATGTATGTGTTTTTTATCTAGTAGAAGCCATTATTAGGGACAACTTTGGAATCAAAATGAAGTGTCCCCCATGTAGGGGGTTGGTCATTGTATCCTGAAAAGTTACACCTTTGTAGGAGTGTCAGAGGAGTGTATTTCTTCTTTAAGGAAAAAAAAAAATGTTTCTAATTCACCTTTCATTACTTTTATTTCTTCTTTTGAGATGATGGCCTACATTTTACTAGTTTAGCATTAGGATTATATATATATAATAAATAAATATAATTTTAGTTTTTTGGATACCAGTATATTAATGAAAAAAAAAAATTCAAGACCACCTTTGGGACCTGAAAATTTGGGTGGTCTCTGGGTTCTGTCTCCAATTAGAGGGTTAGCTTTGTGTTAAAAGATTGAAGATTGTTTGGTTCTTAGAAAAAGAGGTCTCGAATTAGAGGGGTCTCAGAATTGGAGCAGTCTCAAATTAGAGTGTGCGCTGTATAAATGTTTAGTTTTATGGTATATGAGTATTTAAAACTTCATTTATTTTACATAGACATCTACAGTACTGCTGGTAGTTCAGAAGAAGAGGAGGAGGAAGACGACGAAGAATCTGAGGAAGACTGGGAAGGGGAGTCTGTATCAGAAACAAGCGAATCTTCATCATCTTCTGAAGATGATGAGGATGAGGAGGTTGATGTAGAAACAGAAGAAAAGTGAGTGATTTTTTTTATTGTTTTCAAGGTTGTTGTCATAGATATGATATTAGGGAAGGACACTTATGAATGTCTTTGCAAGATTGTTAAATAATTTGGTACCAACATTTATCAATAATAACATTTATAATATTATAATTATAATAATAATAATATAATAAATAAAGTATTATAATATTTATAATTATAATATTTATAATTATAATTATATATTTTTCAGTTGACTTCCATCATTTTAATATGAAATTCAGTTGTACTGCTTTGTGTGTATGATTGAAAAAATTGTACCAGAATATGAATTATTTACTAACCTATACTTGATTTTACTTATTTATACCTTAACATTTATTTTAATTTAATGTTTATTATGTGTTTATTGATCTTTTAACATTTGATTTATATTATTACATTTAAAAATCACACTATCATAACATTTGTATATTTTATAACTAATAACTATAGCTGAAGTAAACCACTGCCAGTGTATCTATAACAATGATAGATTTCAAGCACTTAAGAAAATTTAACTTTTTTAATTGATATTTTCTGCTTCTTTTATCAGGGATAAAGATGATGGATTAAAGGCCAATCTAGACAAAACATTAGTACCCAAGATCTTGAATGGAGAATCAGTTACCAAGATAACATCACCTATAAAGTAAGATGCTGTGTATTTTTTTTTTGTAATATACCCATTGCTTCTTGGGTATAAGGCCACCCTTTAAACACAAAGTCTTCGTACATCCATCTTTATTTTAACATTGAAAAAATCTCAAAAGAAATAAATAATATAAAGACAGATTGTTGATTCAGTAGCCACCTTATTTTCTCTGGGATCATATGGGAAATCCTTTGGTTTAACATTTTCATCAACCCACAATTTTTTTGTTATAAAGTAATTTTGACAGAAATTTCAGTTTTATTTTCAATTTTTCTGTTGTTTTCCCAATATCCTCATACTACAGTTTGGGTGCTGGCTTTGAGTTCTCCCTACTTATTTTTCCAATTACATGTATTCACTTGTTTTGTGCATAGTAGAGACCCACTTATTTGTGCAGTATAAATGCATAACGTTTTAACCTTTATTTTTGTACAATCTAGGGTTAAAGATGAACCTGTCAAAAGCATGATTAGTCCAGAAAAGAGCAGCGATGTGAAGAAACAAAAGAACAAGGCAGACCGCCCTGACCTTGATGCTTTTGAGATCCTGGTAGAGATGGCCTCCAAGGCCAGGGAGTTAGAAAGTGAGGGAGGTGAAGATGATGCCAAACTAGATGACACATCGGAGAAAACAGAAAGTGCAGATGAGGTAAATTTTTTTCTGTTACTGTTGGGTCCTTCTGTGAAGATGCAGATGAATAGTTTAATTCTTGAGCAAGTGGTAATACTCTGCTTAAGAATATTTATTTGGTTGTCATTTTATTGGGTTGTCATTAATTACCATATTTTCTCTAAACTTTCCTGATGTTATTGATTTTGACAATCAGGCTGAACCAACTCTGCGCGACATGATGCTAATGGACCACAGTTACTGTAAGCTGCCCTCACCACCTCTAGCACCAGTAGTAACTCCTCCAGCACCAGTAGCAATGCCATCAGCCCCAGCTGTCAAGAGCAGCAACATGGAGATTGAACACTCATATAGTCAACCAGAGAAGGTTGCCACAGTACCAACATCAAAATCGAAACCAGTAGATGAACCAGTGCCAGTTGAAGCTGACATACCACCAGAAGAATTCAAGCCAAAGAAGAGGAAGCGCAAGAAGACAGAGCTTGAAACAATCATTGAGGAGCAGATCCGACGTGCAGAGCAAGAAGAGGAAGCAAAGGTGCCACTATTCCATCCTAGGAACTACTATGAGGAATGGCAGCTGTTGTATGACATCCTAGCCAATGGCATAGATTTGGAAGATGCTTGTTATCTGCGCAAGACTTACACCATGTTACTTCAGGACAACAGGCACTCATGGCTCAACTACTGCCATTGGGTCAGCCATCCAGATATCCTTTAAAATAGAATTTAATATGAGAAAGCAGTCTTAAATTAATGGAATGTTATGTTGCAGGGGTCCTCAGTCTCTGGAAGTAGCTGGAGTCTCTTGGAAATCGGGTTGGCCTCCTGCACTCTTGCAAGCAAGCAAAAAATAGCTTATTTCATACCAATTTATAATATTTGCATGTTTTTACTACTTTATTATCAAAATTGTTTCATGGAAATCAGTGCTGTAGGGTATCACCATGTGCAGAAAAATATAATTATAGGAAAGAAAGCTTATTTAACCAGATCTCCTAGAAGGGATTTCTTCCAACTTGGCACCCCTGTTAGCATTGTGTATAATATTTATATATAAAACTATTGATTTTAATATATTATATCTAGTTTTATTATTATAGTAGTTAAACCACTTGATAAAGAATCAATTACTTTCTTTAACAAATGTTTACTGACTGTCTTCCCGGAGAAGAAGCGGAGGAAAATTGATGATGATCATGGCAAGCATGACACCGGTTGTGCTAGAACACAAGGCTACTACAAGATTACCCTGAAAGAGAAGAAGCGCTACATCAATAGGCCACGCACAATAGGAAAAGAACCTGAAGACGTAAGTAAAGTCATTCACCAAAATTGCCTGGCTTACGTCAACCATTTGAAGAAATGATATGAATAACAGAGGCTACGTTCAGACTTGGATATAAGCCAGGCTTGAGTTAAGCCCGGCTCAACGTTAAGCCTGGCTAAACTTTGCCAGGTGTTCAGACTAGTGGGATTAGCCAGGAGGCGCGAGCATTTGCATAATAATGAACCATGACCAGGAAATGCATTTCAGTTGCTCGCGAAAGGTATGCTCGCTCACAGCGTACGTAATTGAATGCAGATTGGTTTTAGTCCATGCAAGACCCCTGCAACGATTAAAGCCTGGCTTAAAAAAGTTAAACACAGTGGCATGCCAGGCCTAGTTACTATAGGAACACATCCTGGCTTGAGATAAGCCACCTAGTTCAGACTGGTAGGTGGATAAACCTGAGTTGCGCTGGTTTTATCTACCTAGTCTGAACTAGGCCATAAATTTTGATTTAAAAAAAAAGTTATGCACAGAAATAATATTTGGAATTTTTTAATATCATCAGAAATTGTATTTAGTAAGAATCTCATAATTTTATAATTGATGGAAATATGTTATAAATCATTATACCTTGGCTTGATTTGAATTTAGGACCGACAAGGGTCAGAGGTCGTTACCAAGACTGGACCAAGTGTGTCGAGGGAAGCTCGTTTAGATCATCGAAGACTACTTACCTCATTGTCTCATACACAGGCTGATAGCACATCTGATCTCCTGAAATTCAACCAACTTAAGGTAAGGCATATTCTAATGCTACATTTCAGCACATTCAAGAAAACAAGACTTACGAAGAAGAGTGATCACAATGTAAAATGCATTGCTATAATAGTGGAATTACAAATGCTCAAGTATTATTTAGGCAAGTGTTTTTTTTATACCTTGTTTCACGAATCCGCCGCCCGTAATTATGGATGATTTTCAATAAAAATAACATTTTATTTTTGGCCAAATAGCACACCTGCCGCCACAAAAAACTGGAAATTTTCGGGAAAAAAGGGGTTTTTCTAAATTTTTATTATACCCGCTGCTGCCTTGAAATCTCCAAAAATAAGATAGGTATATTTCTTCCTGATTATATAAATTTAAAGCATTCAAACAACCCATACTACATTGTTTACATTCAACAATAACATTTTATTTTTATTTTCTCCTCTGCCTGGATGTTTTTGTCAAAACAATTTGCTAAATAAGAAAGTAAATTTTTATTTTATTTATTTTTTTTTTTTTTGCCCTCCTCGGACATTTAAAAAAAAAATAAGTTCGCGAAACAAGGTATAAAATTTATGATATTCATAATTTACACTCTAATGACTTTCATCTAGTTACTAAACGTCTTGAATGTTGGAACACATTTGAACAATGAAAATTGTTGCTTTTTCTATAAAAATAGTTCCGTAAGAAGGAGCTGAAGTTTTCTAAGAGTGGCATTCATGGCTGGGGTCTGTATGCATTGGAAACTATCTCACAGGATGAGATGGTCGTGGAATATGTTGGGCAGATGGTACGGCAGACCATTGCGGACATGCGCGAGAAACGTTACGAGGATCTAGGAATTGGAAGTAGTTACTTGTTCAGAATTGACTCGGAGGCCATAATCGATGCAACTAAATGTGGAAATTTTGCTCGTTTTATCAACCATAGCTGCACGGTAAATAGTCTTTTTATCATTTTTCGATTGATTAATGAACGTAAAGGCAGGCTTATGTAGTATTGCTGTAAATAGGTATTCCATAGTGCAATGAAGGTATAGTGCAATGGTTTTCTTTTTATGAGTATCGACTTAGACTGCTACCGGTCAGTAGACTGGTAGTGTGTTGGGCAAGTGTTCGCAGGCTTATTGTTGGCCAGTGTGTGTCAGTCTAAATTAGTGTAATATTTTGTATGAACTTGGTTTGTGCAAAGGAGGAAGGGATGTTGAGGCCTTGCTGGCTTCAAAAAAATTCTTTAACATTATTGTTATGTTATCTTATTACATATCACTCTTTGGAGCCGGATTAAATTAAAAAAATTGAACTATAACATCTAACATATGTCACATATTAATCAGTTTTTCAGTTCAGTTCTAATAAAATATCGTTCTTTTTTTATTGTTGTAGCCAAATTGTTATGCAAAGATTATCAACGTGGACTCGCATAAAAAGATTGTAATCTACTCCAAGAGACAAATCAACAAAGGTGATGAAATCACATACGATTATAAGTTCCCAATTGAGGATGAGAAAATTCCATGTCTCTGTAACAGCTCGCAGTGTAGAGGCACTCTGAATTAAAATCCAGTGCCAAGATGGATAACCCTTGAAGCTGTTGAAAGGACCACTCTCCATTGATGGTTAAAAAACATGTGACCGTTCCCAAAATGCCATGAAGAAATATGATAAGCCAAGTTGACTATGGGTTGTCAAATTTGGCTCGTGAAGACCATAGAATAGAGTTCCTGAAGACATAACTTGTGCCTAGCTGTCAGTTACTGGTTAAGGAGGGTTGCGGTGTAGTTCCATGTCTAGGCTACAAACTAATACATTATGATAAACTTATGAGCAATAAATAAAGGAATGCCGATATACTGTACTTATATGAAGGGTATTAAGCCAAGCATGCATATCACTACACTGTCGAATACCATTGCAAGTCTTACTGAATCATTGCCAATGGTAATGGCAGATTTCGCCAGTCAGTTTTTTATTGGGGATTTTGAGGCATGTAGACGATGAATGCTGAAAATGTCATTGCATTTCTGTATGAAATATTTGTTGGTAGTTGTAAAAACTCACTTGTACACCATATTAAATGAGGGTCATCAATCCAGGGAAGCCAAATGTTTGCAACCCCGGATTTTGATGGCTTATTACCATATTCCTTTGAGGGTTAAGGAGTGGACAGCTGCTTGTTTGGTAACACTTGATGAGTCCTAAACCAGGTCTCTTCTTAAGGCAGAGTGAGTGAACATCTGATCAGTTTGAGCTTTTGATGCTCTAGAGCCAAGTGTCAATAAGGCTTAAAGGTGATAAAGTTGTTTTTTAGTTTTGAGAAAAATCTTGCCAAGATTGAACTCAAAACCTTTGGTTTGGAGTGTGGGCACTTCATCACCAAACTACTGTACTGCTCCAATCAAATGATGTATGTAAGATACCGTATTATTTGAATAAACGCCCCGGGGCTTTGTTGTTGAGAAGAGTTTGTGAGGGGACATTTATTCGAGGGAGGTGTTTTTTTTTTTTTTTTTGTGTAAAATGGATATGGGGCGTTTATTTGATGGATGCATTTATTCCAAATGAGGCTCTAGAGAGGGCATTTATTCAAAGTGGGGTGTTTATTCTAATAAATACAATATATTATTATTATGTTGCCTTAATATTCAACCACTTAATAAAAAACTAAAATATATGTGTACTAGTACCATTCAGCGTTTTACAACTACCAACAACATTGTGCATAAGCAATGATTATATGGTGTATTATTATGTTGAAAATCATGATGAAAATTTATTATAGAGCAGCAGTCTTGTTAGTGGCAATCTAACCATCAGAAATGCCATTTGTAGGGGCATTATGGTCTGGTTTGGTTAGCAACAATTGTAGATTGTAAGAATGTACAATATTTTTGTACATGTATTATATTTGACCCTCACAATTCAGGGTAAATTCAGGTCAATGATCTATTGTGTTCTTATCAATGATGACTTGCATATGAACACAAAATTGAAATTAAACATGTTCCTATAATATTTACAAGCAATGCTGATCAGTGAATTTCTAGACATGGCATAGGTCTAGATATTTGACAGTTAAGTTGTGGCTATCTTTTTGAAGGGGAAAGGGGGAGGTGCCTCTTTCTCTTTTTGAAAATCCAGATGTGATACGTTCAGTAATCTGTTTATATTTGACCTAATTTTTGTCACCGCACCTATCCTCTGGGTGCCATGTCACATTATATAGGCCACATAAATTAAGTCCTGTCCAGACTGTGCGACATGCCTAAACATAGTCATGATGACATCATGTCATGACCATATATAGGCACATCATGACATCATGTCATGACCATATATAGGCACATCATGACTATATATGGGCATACAACAGTTTTTTGTCAAAGAAAATGTTAAAGTGTGGACAAAGCTTTAGGTCTTAAAATATTTACGTCATAAATCAGCTCAGAAAATGCTATTTGGCTGTAGACAAGGAGCTTCTTTATAAACTGTCTACCATTCAGAATGTATATCATCATTAGAATTTCTGTATATTTTTTATTGTTTATTAGATTGAACACCATATCTAGCTATATTAATAATATTCAATCATCATAATCATTCTAGTGATGATTTAAGTTTAGGTATATTTTTCATACAGTTAGAATTTCTTTTGTGGTATGTATTATTAATACGGTTTTTCTTTACGCTGTTCGTAACGAAAACCAATTATAATCGCTGATGATCAGTTATCAATTGTACCCTAATTTACATGTAGTGTACATATAATCAGTATACCTTGCGCTGTCTTGGTAATAGGTTGTTTGAAATGTATAAAAGTGATTTTGTTCGAAGACTTTGTAAGATAAATTCAAAGAAATGCATATTGCGTAATAATGTTTTTCTTGTGCTGTTACTGTAAATCTTAAATGTGAATATATTGACAAATTCATTTTAAAATTTGTCATTAAAAATGTACTGTACTATCAGTCATGAGGTAAAAAATTAAAAATTGTTTTGCTTAGTTTGTATATTTAAGTACTGTATAGTTTCTCATTGGAAGCTAATATTTTATTTGATCATTTTATATGAGCTATTATTCAAAATTTTATTTTTTGAGGTATTTCCCTGTCTTTTTGATTGATAGTACTGTACATCTTTAATATCATTAGGCATTCTAGTCATCCAAGCCCCTGCACTTGTAAGCAAACAGGTGCCTAACCTAAGACACCAAAATAAAGACATAGACATATCTAGGATTGCGTAGGGAGCTATGCCAGGCACTCGCTACGTCTTACGACAAATCCAACTCCTCTCCTTTTGGGCGCTAGACGGCACGATGCCGATTGTCAGCAGTCTGAGTTGTTGTGTCTGGTGTTGTGTTCTCCATATAATCGCCATATAGTCTATAAAGTGCCCGACTTTAGGGGACGATTTTAACCAGTCGTAGGTCCAGGAATTCGAAATAGAGGAGCCCATGGAGGAACTTTCAGAGATATGGTTGGGGCTGCGGTAAGAAAATTTATAACTTATGGCAACTCTAGGTGGCTGAAAATGGCACTCTGACCAACATTTTAATATAATTTTATTTTTTTCTTCATTTTGTTTTATAACTTTGACAGAGTTTAATGGGGACCTTTGATATCCTCAGCACATTTGCAGTTGGATGGCCCATATTAAAAATTCTTTGGGCATTCCATATGTCCTATATCTCGGAACAGGTTCAAATTGGACTAAGAAGTGTCAACTTGCTTAATGTCCTGGACCCCTACCAAGGCTTTGCCTGGCTGGTTTCCGCCAAGACTCCCTGTTGGACAGCCCCCCCCCCACCAAATTTATTTCCTCGAGCAACCACTGAACGTGCTACATTTTTAACATTTTCCACCCTCCCAAGCCCCCTAAGCTGTTGAATGTAGACTTCTCCACAAATGTGGAACATGTACCGGACTAGTAAAGCCAGTAGCCTGAACCCAATCATAAGGTACTTCAACAATAACAAATAGCCGACCGGTAACAGACTGACAAACTGTTCATAATTAGTAACACTTACCCGACCAGTAGCACATACAAATGGGTAACATAAAACAACACCAGCTCAGAGCTTCCCAGAGAATAACATGGGTGACCTCAACCCCATTGTTGGATGTTGGAGCTTAGGTAGAAAAAATTATGGCACATCTAGATGGCCGGAAATGGCCCTATCAGACTTCAATTTTGAATATAATTTTCTACCCCCACCCTCAAATCCGCCACTGATCTGGTTAATGAGCTTTAACTCATTTCAGTTTACTTTGCTATATATATATACCCATTGGCACCGACTTCTGTGATACAATTGATAGGCCTAATAAAACAGTGAAAACGTACAGTACAAAACAATGAATTTGCTGAGATGGGTTTCATTTCTGGGGGACTGTCCCGATTTCCTGGAGACTCCCACAAGTTATGGAAGATTTGGGACCCCTGACAATTTTCAACAATGAATTAACAGTAGATGAACAAAAAATTATGACAATGATTGGTATTATTTGTTCAATGGTTAGATATACTCAGGGAACAGTGAAATTACAATTACTGCACTACTGTACTGAAGTTTTGACTTTTTTAAATTGTGTTCTATTTATAGGGGTCCCAACAAGGCAATTCAATTCCCAAGTTGAAAGGAACCATTTCCTTGGAGATTTGGGAATGTCCTATTCCTGACAGTAATTAGTATGATTTGAACATGTTAATTATCGTACTAAACATAGCAACACCTGCATGTGGCTGGCCCTTGCACACCTGTTATCAAAATGTACACCAGGAAGACCTCTTATCGCTTTAATTTTATTTTGATCACACTTAAGGTACAACATAATTATATACATATTTGATACTTTTTTGAAAATAGAAATATGTTAAAGTTCAAAACCATACTGAATTATTTACTCATCATCACCATCATCATTGTCATCATCATCAAACCCAAGTTAGATTTTATAATTTGGATCTTGCTCTTGATTTATCGCGTATTTTGAAAAGGATTTTGAACACCTCATCGAATTCTGGATTTAATCTTTTCTGCACTCTCTCCACCCATGCACCAAGCTTAGGATGATTTTCTGCCGGGTCGCGACCTGAGCCAGTTACCTGAAGTACCTGGGGGTAAATCAAGATAGTATTGAAAATATTATTATTATTAAGAAAATATAAATTATCCCAAACATTGGTATTAACTGTAGGTACAAGGAATTTCAAAACATTGGCATCACATGAAATCTAAGAAGCTTTCGATTTGAGCAATGACAAAACTCTAGAACGGATTCACTCATCACTGACTGTTCTACGTACTCTGCACAATGTAGATTTCGGCAAAACTGCAGCCTATAATTCAGACGCGAATGCGCAGATGACAGCTTAAGCTGACGCGCAAGGGGTCATTTTAAATTATCGCACCATCTTGCGCCCACAGGGAGCAGAGTTGGAGAGTGAGTACCCGGTTTTAGTGACATTATGTTCTAAGTCCTACCGTTGCAGTGCAATTGAAAGCTCAGGGCCTATTATCATACATCAACTGACCAAAGTTGTCAGTCTGTTGATGATTTATGTACATGTGCTTTATGCATATCCCGCAGACTCTTATATACTGTATATTGAAATTTGCAATCACAGCTGACCTCTGATACTCCCATGATGTCAGCAATTGTGATGTCATCACCACACAAGTACTGTTGGTCTTTGAGGAAGACATCTTCAATGTCAGTAAATGATTGGTTCATGGCTGACAGGTTGCTCTCCAGTTTACTGGTGTTTACTGGGCTCCCGGTCATCCTTGGAATCAAGTACTGTAAAGAAAAAACTCAAATCATGAAATTCTATTGGCGTTGTAGCTTGGTGACTTGCATCCCAATCTTAACATCCTTGGTTAAGTCTAAAAAAAAGTCAGGTTTTTCTTTAATGACTAAAAATCCAAACTGCCTCATATTATTGGTTTTAAAGCATCAAGGCTCCAAACATTACTGAATATCATTGTTAATTATTTTTTTCCCCAAAATTATAGTTTTTAATATGACAGTATATTATACTATTTAACAGGATGTGCGTTCTTCCCCACCAAACTCCATTCCTGACTAAAAACTCCTTTGATCAAGGAATTTACCTCTGTCCAGAAAACTTTTGCGCAAGTCATTCTTGTGTTAAGATGCTGCCAAGCCAGGTATTCATCCACCTTAGCACGCTTCTTGACGTCGGCAGGGTACCAGTGGTCTGGTGTCTTGTAAGTGCTTATAAGGTATCTTAGTATAGCCACGCTGCAACAAAATACATTCAAATTGGTTGATGCAACTTGTGTTAATAACTTGGAATTGAGTTGTGGTTTAGTGGTTAAGTGCCTATCTTCCAATTCCAGGGTGCTGGATTCAAATCTAGCAATGCAACCAAGAACATTCCAATTCCCAACCCTGAATTCATAAAGAGACTTCCAAGGCCTATCAAGCATTTTGAGATGAAACACTCTTTAGTCAGTATTTGTAGCATCAATAAATATTTGAAGTGAATAATACCTTTCACTGAGATTAAAATCACCATCTTGGATTGCTGGTACCTTTTTAAATGGATTAATTGCTGCAAACTCATCTGTCTGGTGTGCACCTGTACATGGAAGCGGACAAGAGTTAGGCCTATATGATATACGAATTGCAATGATAAAGTGAGGTCTACAGACAGTACCACCGGATAGACCTAGTCTAGTACTACAACACTACTGGATTTTGAAGGTATGGCCTAGGCCTAGATAAGCCTAACCTAGCCCTCCCTAGGCCACCACAGACGTGACCTGTCCTGATCCTAACTACGCCTACGCCTAGCCAGGGTGCGGAGTTGTTATCTAGGCCTAGCCTAGAATCTAGAACTGAAGTTGTTTACACACACCTTTCGCAATTGATGTTTCCTTAAGTACGAAAGGGATATTATTTAATTTTGCAAAGAGCACAACAGATCGTGACGGCTGCGACAAGAAGTCGATAAATATTTTCAGAGCCATTTCCAAAACAGTATTTTGATGATCATCCGCAAGTCCCTCCCTCTGGGTTGTTGATGATTAATCAAGTGTGCAATACATGACCTTTCAATCGTAATTGAACTGACCTGGATATGCAGTCAAGCGGCTAGTTTAAACTAGTAATTATACTGGGTAGTAGGTTTAAGTTCAAAATAAGAATGCAGTATTATATTTTTGAACATTTATTAATGTCAATTTGAGTAGAGTACGTTTCTTAAGTGAAACATTACTGAATGTTTTTTTCATTATTATTTTGTATAGGACACCTACCAGGGAGATATAAAAGAGGACGCGTCTGTCTCACATTTTAATAAATGAATTCAATTAGAGTATATTTCAAAATTTTACTTTCTCTTACGAATAAATTAAATTTAGTTTACATCAACCTTTTGGGGAGGGGTCGATGGTAGTGGCGTATCTAGGGGCACGCCCCTCCACAAATTATTGCCCGCCCGATTCGCCTCCGAAAAATCACGGTCAAATAATATAATCACCTTATTTGCGAAGTACCCCTCCTCAACTGCTGATCATCCAGCACCCCCATTTCAAGACTTCTGATACGCCGCTGGTCAATGTCGTGCCAGCGAGGGACTGACTCCCCACCCTCCACCGTCGCCTGAAGCCACAACGAGGTCGTCAGATCAAAAATTAAAAAAAATAATTTGCCTGTCCAAATATTCTGGTCTAAAAGCACAATTTGGATCTTTCCCGTGAGATCTACCCTTTTTTTATTCTGGGACCCGGACCGAGGCTCTGTCGTTGGTTTCCCCCACCCCTCAGATCCCCTTCTCGTCAAATTCCTGCCACCGCTGGATTGAAAGGGGTTAATTGTTATACTTCAGTTGTTAACAAAAAAATTTTTTTTTTGCTGTATAAATTTAGTTAGAATTGGTGCTACTTATAGGCCTACATTATATTCTGATTGTCATTGTAACCATATTTAGGCCTATACACCTCAGAGTCCAACCAGTCGAATTTCCTTTAAGTTCGTCGTTTAATTCATTGCGTAGGCCCTATGTATGATTTGTAAACATAACTTCCTACCATTCTATTCACATTACTCTACCCATATAGTATCACTTACAATGGATCCTTACAAAGGATTGTCGAATAAAAAAAATAGAGTCACCCTTCCTAAGGATTGTCAAATAAAATAAATATAGGCCTAGCACTTTCAGGGCTCGATTTTCTGGGGGCGGATACAGAATTTGGCAGTAGGGGTGCGTGGAAGGGCGCAGATCTGTTTTGAAAGGTGAGGGACATTTTGTGGAAATAGGCCTATTACCTGTAGATGGCCGGAAATATAGTAAAAATGAAGCGCCAACAAATTTTCACGATCTTTATCAGCGATTTTCGGCAACCACAGAGACTTAATTAATATGTGTAATGTACCATAGAAAATAATATTTAAAAACATTGTCTTTGATGTAGACCCTATTTACTTGACCTACTTCAAAGACTCGAGTCCAAAAGTAACTCAGCCCCACCTGAGGTGAGAAAAATTGAGGAAATAGTAACTTTATGATGGCCGAAAATGACAGTTTTATATGTAAAATTCATCGTCATCCTCATCACATCACCACTATATTAATATAGTCTAAATGAAACCCCAGAAAATTGTTCATGATCTTTATAAACATTCTTTGATGTATTTAATTTACTTGACCTACCCCAAAGCCTTGAGGCCACATCCACCTGAGCACCACCATGGTTGGGGCTGAGGTGAGAAAATTTGAGGAAATAGTACCTCTAGACGGCCGGAAATGACACCTTTAAATAGTAAAATTCAACATCATCGCACATCGCCATTATAATATAGTCAAAATGAAGCGCTAACAATTTCTCATGATCTTTTATCAGCTATTTTCGGCAACCATAGAAATCTAATTAATAAGTTTGATGTACGGTAACATAAAACTTAAAACATTGTTTTTGATGTATTTACTTTACCTACTTCAAATCCACACCCATCTCAGCCCCATAGTTGGGGCTTAGGCAGTGGCGTATCTAGAAGTCTTGAAATGGGGGGTGCTGATGGGGGGCTTGACGATCAGTTGATGATCTTATTATTATTATTATTATTATTATTATTATTATTATTATTATTATTATTATTATTATTATTATTATTATTATTATTATTATCATATCATTATCATTATCATTATCATTATCATATGTGGGGCGGGACGTGTGCCCTTCCTTGACCTGCGCCCATGAGTGCATAGTCCACACCACCTCAGCCCCAAAATGGTTGAGGCTGAATGCAAACATTTTGAGAATATGGACCTCTGGGTGCCGGGAAATTGCACTCTTATACTTTCAAAATCTTACCAATAATTCATGTCAACAATATGATACAATTATTTTCTTAATACAATTTAGGAGTGAGTGGGGGTACGATCCCACCCTCTGCACACCCTCAGCATCCGCCCCAGATTTTCTAGTGGTGGATCCAGGGATGGCAGCCAAAAAATGACTACCAAGTCTGAAATCCTTTAGATAAGTTATCAAAATGGATTTTTTAAAACTCTTCCGATTCTTTTCCAGTGAGAATACAAACCGGAACCGAAAAATAGACAAGGGACCACCCGAAACTCTCCATTATCATGCCTATTTCCCCCTCCCCAACCTTTAGAACCATGGTCCTCGGTTGCGGTAAATAATTAAGTCTTCGATCTAAATTTCTGTTGGGCCCCTCTCATTGGGAACAAAAAATGAACTTTCCCGTAAGTGCAGTCCAAGCACCCACAATCCCTTCATCAGAGCAAAATAGGGCATAATACGTTTTAAAACATCTCTACAAAGAAAACAATGTCCTCCCACCTCATTTTCAAAGAACTGACTTCCGGCCGTGTCATATCTTTTACGATGCTCAGTTTAAAGTGAAGTGGTGAAAGTCCGAGAAACATAATTGCAAATCTAAAAAAAAAATCAATACTTGTACTAGGCCTACTATATGAATTATCGAACATAACTGCTTTTTTTTCTGGTACTGTAGTACCATTCATCATTAGTTTCGTACAATACCAAGAACTCAAAAATGAAGTTTTATAATAATTTATTAAATTATTTCAACTATTTTTTTTTTCAATTTGAATAAAATCACGTTTGAATTTTCTGTATTGAGAGTGATATAAAATCTGTAATGAATTATAAACCTACTGTTGCTGTACGTTGTACGTATGTTACATTAACAGAATTTGAAAAGCCTGTAATATTTATTACTTTATTGGAACCGTTGAATGAAAGTTAAATACAGTAGAGTAGCTATGTGTTTACAATTATGTCATAATACATCAAAATGAACTACTGTAATACAATTTTGCCAACTAAAAGAAAATGTCATGAGAAACGGGAAAAAATTAAAAACATTTTTCTCTTCTAGCTTAATCTAGAGCCTTAACGAATTTACGAATGTCTTTTGCAAGTAACTGCGGAACCTCAAACGCTGCAAAGTGACCTCCACGTGGCATAGTAGTATTATATACTGCACCAGATCAGTAAACTGTTTACTCCACGGTTCTGGCACACGAGCAAATTCCATCGGAAAATCGGCAATAGCTGATGGTACCGCTATTTCATATACTGGTTCTTGGAAGGCCTCTGCCGTTTTTTCCTTGTAAAATCTCATCGATGTTGTAATAGAATTCGTCGTCCAATATAGCATAACATTTGTCAAAATTTCATCTAATGTCCATTTCTCTTCAATGCAACCATCATCCGCATCCCGTCCTTTACGGTTTGTCCAAGCAGAAAATTTTTCCAAGATTTAGGCTGCCAGTCCAATCGGGGAATCGTTAAGAGCATGGCCCAAAGTATCGGGTTTTGTTGCTTGTTGCATGTTAAACCAGTTTCAATTAAACGGTCAATAAAGTGTAGGAGCGGTTGGCGCACCGGTTGTGGCTTGGGCACCGGTTGTGGCTTGGACTCCCAACCTTGAGGACGGGGGTTCGAAACTCTGGCTGTGCAAATCGCTTGTGTCCTTGGGCAAGACACTTTATCTACGGTTGCCTCTCTCCACCCAAGTGCGTACCTGATAGGTTCCAACACAACCTGCGCTGATTACTAGCTGCAATTTATGGAATGATAATATAATTTCATTTACTAATTTAATTTGGTGTTTCAATGTGTTCATGTGTTTGATCCAATGACCGGGGTAGTTATGTGAAGCGCTTAGAAGCCTTGTAAAGGCATGAAGCGCTATATGAGAACGACATATTATTATTAAGTGTTCACCAACTGGAAACACCTTATCTTGATCTTCCTTTGAGCTTGGAATGAGACTTGGAAAGTAACTGCCAATTGCTAATACTATGCAAACCCAAGATTAAAGTTGGGATATAAGACCATTTTAGTAACTATATAATGCCCCCAATCTCCTCCTTGAATGTAGTACAAAGATCTTATAAACACAAGATAGCGTTCTCCGCGATTTACGCGTGCAAATTCTGTAATAAGGCATGAATGGCGCCCTCTTGCTAAATTGGAAACTTTTGACCTTTGACCGCTATGACCATACCGTTCCGTACGAAACATTTACATGAAACTCCACTCGGGCCGTCTCGGCTGAATCGACCCGAAAATCTCATTGCAGAATTCTTGGTATAATAGCGCATGAATGACGCCCTCTTGCTAAATTGGAAACTTTTGAACCTTGACCGACGCTTCTATTTGTTACGCGTAAATCGCGGAGAACGCTATCTTGTGTTTATAAGATCTTTGATGTAGTACTGATTAAATCCTAGACGTTTCATCAATTTGTCGAATATTCTTGCAACCGCTAAATGCATTGAGTCCTTTTTTGTGAGACCCTTTCGAAAAGGTGTAGCCAGGTATTGATGGGCACACTAATTCAAAAGCGTCATCAGACGGGCCACCATGAGCCAAAGGGTCAGTCATCATCGGTGCAATCTTCATGAATTCGTAGAAAGAACCAGGTCAACCCATGGATCATCATTAATGGTATCGCCTTCTGTCCAGGCGGGAGATTAGGTTTGATATGCATGAAATGAATGTCCATGCCCTCAATGTTAGTCTTGAAATGATCATAT